TTACTTATTTTCGTAAGTAATTAGCTCATCGAGACCTAAAACAAAGCATACAACTCAATGCTTTCTACCGGCATTCTGGGGCCACCAGTGATCTTCTATATTAATTCACGCTTAACAAGTGCTTTTTTATCTTCCTGTATTTATCCCCTCGGTTGTTATGGGGAAATTCCCGGCAATGTCTCTTTTATAAATCAGATTTTTATTTAATCGACGGTATACGGACTAAGATGGCGTGGTCTTTAGTATGGTCGCGGTCTTTTTTCGTTGGATAGACGTTGTTTGACCTTGTTTTCGCAGCTTGGTTATATTGGCAGGAAGATGTAGACAAACGCACCTCGTCCAGAGTCTATAGTATGCATGGCAATTTACAGGGTCGGACTGTCGAATTGGTACATTCCCAGACGTTTCGCCGGCATCTTCTGTGACCCTTTCCATTCTTAGCCAAACGCCAAAACTCGTCAAAGACAAATTAAGTCAATCCTTTGACTTGTGTTTCGGTGTATTCATCTATCCTATATCCTCGTATCACCACTTAAGTATCACAATTTTAACTTGCTTTTAAGCCTCGTTGAGGTGTTCTATTTTGGCCTGGAGGGATAAGGGAACCAGTGGAGGGTACGAATAGGTCAAATGGGCACACCTGAGCAAGGTTTAGATGAACAAGTAAGAAATTGTGATATTTAAGTGGTGATACGACGATATAGGCTAAATGAATACACCTTGTGTGACGCTAAGGATGATAAGGCATGCTGACGATGCTGGCGAAATGTATGGGAATGTACTAAGTTTACGGTCCAACTCTGCAAATTATCATGCATACTATGAACTGCGGACAAGGTGCATTCCTCTGAGTCTTCCTACCAAAATGGCCAAGTTGTGTAGGAAATGTCAATGACTTTTTTTCATTAATTCATGATAAAATAAGGCTGTCAGTGAATTCTAGTTATTTGATGACGAATTTCGTCCTGGGTCAATTGCTACTTCCTCTACGATCTCCCAAGGCGATATGAACTCCGAGCACGTTACCAGCTTTGATATATGAACCGAAAGAGCTGTTAAAAATTAGGGCTGGTTGGAACAGAATAATGACATCTTCATCGGCAATAAATAAGTAAAAATTATCTCCAGATTTGCTGTCACTTCAGCTTGTCGCCACCCACTTAAATGGAAGTAGTTTTGAATAGAAAGCAAAAGATTCTGCCGTAATCGTCTGAATCCCGATTGCCGCAAGTGGTTGGTATTTAAGACAATTTGCATGCAAATTATCGTCTCTCCTAAACTACATGATTTTACTGCATCATTTTCAATTGGCCAATCAGCGTACTCGTTTTTACGTGCTCTTGTCTGTAATATATTTCTTAAAGTTTGTCATTTCTATCACTCATCTTGCGAATTATCTGCACTGTCTCAAATAAATAAGCGATAATCCATCTGGATCACTGAATTGGATTTTTTAATGAGCTAGCCTAAAGTCTTGCCATTTCTATCAACAAGTTTTCATTAAAGAATTACTGATTGTCTCAAAGGTATTAAGTCAATTATTAAGGTTCATACAATCTCACTTTTAGAATGCTTTACTACGCGTTACCATTGCGTTAGGTAAGAAATGAGTATGGTGAAGATAGATTGGCAATAGAATAAATAAATTGTGGTTATATTCGTTAAAGATTGATTCGGTGACTATATTTGGCTTGAGTTCATGGACCGATTGGATTGTTAGCATGCCAGCATCCAAAGTTCCAGGTCTTGAAAGCTCCATATATCCATCATTTTTTAGCAAGTTGAAGAATAAAGTCTTAACCTGATCATCATGAACAAATAATTTAGAATATATCTTGCATCTTTCGTAGTTCCTCATCTTGTTAGTCGAATTTGGCCAAAATGATGTTTCCTTTAGCATGTAGTTTTGATAATCGTTTGATCTAATCCTTATAACCCAGGATTACTTTCCTTTTTCATTTTATTGCCTCGCTATATTACTTTTACTTTACTCAGTTCGATGATTTAGATCGCTTGCTGTTCGGCTACACTGTCTGGGCAAACCGTCTTCTACCACGCGCTCCCTTTGTCGAAGTTGTCGACCGCCTAGAGACAGTTGGAGCGAAACGCGAAGTCCAAGCGCGTTTGAGAAACCTTCGCAATGGATTATGGAACCTCAACACAACAGGTGTGACTTCTGAATTTGTCAGTCAAGTAGACGATGAGGACACCGATGGACATGAGGATCTCCCAGAGGACTATGATATTCCATTTGAGTCACTTTATTCAAGAAAGGCAAGTCTTAAATGCGTGATCGTTGTTTTGTTGCTGACTTTTACCGAAAAAACCAAATTTTCAATGCCTTAGCGACATAAGATGTCAGTTATTAGATAAGCTCTCATTCCTAGCAGAAATGAATTTTCGATGATCTGCCTGAATTTTGTCACTAAAATTAAAAAGTCGCAAAACCTCACTTGTACCTCTTACTTCAAAGGCTCTTTATAAATTTATCCAATTAAACCCATCTGACTGGATAGTGAGTAGAGGCGGACTGACTTAGTTATCAGTAGAAGAGTTTTTTTCGT